GACTCTCTAGATCCACCACTTGTCACCATGTATCTCAGTTGTACAGTGATCTCGGATGTACTACATCCTCACACCCCCACTTAGTCGAGATCAGCTTGCGAAGGCTAGATTAGAAAAAAGAAACTAATGCTAAACCACTGAAATCAGCATCTTGTGGTGTTGAACAACAGTAGCAGCACGTTCTAAGGTACCCAAGCTTGCACACAGCCCAGCTTGTATCAAGACCTGTCAAAAACCAGCATTTTGTTCCATCTTCCCCACTCAAATGTGATCTCTCCATCAACCTCAAGGCCCTTGCACACAGCAATTTCCAGGAAGAAGAGAAGCCTCTTGGCAGCACTAGGAAATCTCCAGCCCAAGGAAGCTTCCTTGGCAGCAGGGGCATCAGATCGTCTCTAGCAGTAGCAAGCAGTGCTACAACCCTTCCAATTCAAATCCAGGCCAATCTCAATCAAGAACTGCCTCTATTTTAGGGTTGCCTGCACAAAACAAAATAGACAAGAAAACCTCCATCTTGATATTTTCAATTCACAGCCACTCTAGATCAGGAGGCTTGTTGTCTTCCTCCTCCATTCAGCCCACGATTTAACCCCTAAGCTCCAATACCATGTTGAAAACTAAGGAAGAAGAGAAATACTCTATTGCTCAGATATCATCATTGCTATATATACATAGGTGAGAGTTGTGACTCTCTAGATCCACCACATGTCACCACGTGTCTCAGCCATACAGTGATCTCGGATGGATGTAAGAGGATGGGGAAGCCAACACAACACAATATGATGCCATTGCAGCCACTTTTTCCAGTTTTACCATTTGAGAAGTGGGGAATCAATTTTGTGGGACCTCTTCCATCTTCAAGGCATACTCACTGTAGGTATGTGCTAATTTATACAAATTATGTGACCTTTAGCTTTGGTGTTGCGAGTGCTGGAGATAATTCGAAGCCAACTAAATAAGAAACTTTGTAAGGACATTCGTTTTCACCTTGCAAAGGCGCTCGCCCATGTGCTCCTTCTGTCTTGCATTTACAATGTAAATGAGATCCATCCGGCAGAAACTGAGATGTGCTTGGATTGTGTGATAAATTTCCTTCCAAATGGCAAGGATTTGAACTTGTTTGAGGGGCGATGATTGTGGCGATTCCCGTCCTGGCAGCTTCGGCAATGTGGATTTCATGAAGAAAATGCGTGGAATGAATGATCTCTACATTTCAAACACGCTGGTGAGCTTGTATGGAAATTGGTGGAAGCTGAGAGGGCTTTACAGAGGTGGGGTATCACAGTGTGGTCTCTTTGGAGCTAGGGCAAAAACTTTTCCCTCCTTGTTTTGTAAAGATACTTTGTCAGAAGAATATTCGCCAAGCCCAAGAGCCCTAAATTTCGGGGATCTGGAGAGCGAGGCGCGAGGGCCAGGGCGCGTCGCCGGGTATGTTCTAGATCGCTGCACACTCTCCGAAATAAGGATGCAGCAAGCTTGGGACAAGCCGCTGCTGCCGAATCCAGCCAGGTTGGAGGAGCTCCATCCCTCGATCAAGAACCAGCTCGAGGTTTCTAGCAGCGACGACGACGAGCGGGATTATAGCAGCGGTGGGGATGACGAACCCGGGGCTTCGATCTTCCGGAATTATCCGGGAGTAGCCGCGACAGATAATGATCCAGGGCAGCTTTTCCAGGCGGGTGTGAATCGGATCAACAGCCTCGTGGCCGCGACCAAGGGCGGAGCATCGACGTGCTTGATCTGCCTCGAGAAAATCCGCAAGATTGATCCAATCTGGCACTGCAAGCAAGGATGTTTTGCGGTGCTTCACTTGGTTTGCATCCAGTCGTGGGCTCGCCAGGCACTCAGCACCAGCGAAAATTCTTCCGCTGGAAGAAACTCGAGCTCCAGGACTTCCCCGGCGTGCTGGCACTGTCCAAAGTGTCGACGGGACTATCCACAGGCAGAGATCCCGCGAGAGTATCGTTGCTACTGCGGCAAAGAGGTGGATCCAAGGTCCGATCCTTGGCTCACTCCACACTCTTGCGGGGAGAGATGCGAGCTGGAGCTGGGACTTTGCTCGCACACTTGTGTGCTTCTTTGCCACCCCGGGCCGTGTCCGCCATGTCCTCAGCTCGTCCAGCTGGCTTGCCACTGTGGAAAGTTGGCGGAGCTCCGGCGCTGTGGCCACAAGAGCTTCTCCTGCCAAAGGCTTTGTTCCAAGCGCCTGGGCTGTGGAGTCCACTCCTGCGACGAGATTTGCCACGAAGGGGAGTGCAAGCCTTGCAGCAAGTTCGGTGTCCATCGCTGCCGGTGTGGGAGTGTGACTGAAGTTCGCCCCTGCTCTCAAGCCGATTTCCAGTGCGAGAGGATTTGTGACAAGGAGTTGAGCTGCAAGAAGCACGTATGCGGGAAGCAGTGTCATGCTGGGGGCTGTGGAGAGTGTGAACTTCAAGGGAGGAGGACTTGCGCCTGTGGGAAGGAGGCGTACAAGGATCTAGCCTGTGATGTTAAAGTGCCGACGTGTGGATCAACATGTGAGAAGTTACTGGCCTGTGGACTTCATCGATGTCCGGAACGGTGTCATGCTGGTTCTTGTGTGGGGACCTGTCGAGTTTTGATCAACAAGCGATGTCGCTGTGGGAGCACGGCGAAGGAGGTCTGTGTTTCTATGTGTCTGCAACTATCTATGTTTCTTAGTTGAAGTTTTGTGTAGGTTCCTTGCTACCAGGATCTTGTTTGTGAACGGAAGTGCCAACACATACGGAACTGCCAGCGTCATGCGTGCAGGCGGAGGTGCTGTGACGGGGATTGCCCACCTTGTTCTGAGGTACACGAACTTGTTTTGTTTTCTTTGGCATGACGTTAGTTTTCTGCTGGTCCTGGACAGATTTGTGGCAAAAAGTTGAGATGTGGTAATCACAAGTGTCCAGCTCCTTGTCACAGGTATCTATGCTGGTGAGGCTCTGGTTTTATATTTTGAAATATTCTTCTTATTATACTGTTGCTGTTGTTCGTGTTCAGAGGTTTATGTGCACCTTGCCCTTTAACTGTGAAAATTTCGTGTCAATGTGGATTCACTACACTCGAGGTATGTTTTGAATTTTTTATGTTCATTTGTGAAATTCTTTTCTAGGTTCCTTGTGGCGCAGACAAAGATGTGAAGCCTCCAAAATGCTCAAAACGCTGTCAGAGACCACAAATCTGTGGTCACGGTGATTTATGCAAGGTACTCTGATAAACCTATGGCTTCTAATATTACATTACATCTTGTATTGCAGCCTCACAGATGCCATTATGGACCATGTCCGCCTTGTCAACTGCTGTGCAACAAGAAACTTGATTGTGGTCATTCGTGTAACCAGAGGTATTATTTTGGATGCATTAGCTTTGTAGACGCTAAAATTTTTGCTTCTAGGTGTCATGGACCACGACTAACATGTCCAGTCTTGAAGGGAACCAAGAAAGAACGCAAAGCTGTGATTTCTCCCATTCCAGGCTCTCCATGTCCACCATGTTCTGTTCTTGTGTCGAGGCCGTGCATGGGCAAACATCCGGCCGGGTCGAGGATGGTACTGGCTTATTGATTTACTGGACCGGTCTATCATTTTAACTACTGCATTGCAGGTCCCGTGTAATGACGAATCAAGATTTTCCTGTGAAAAACCATGCGGAAATCTTTTGTCGTGCGGAAATCACTTTTGCCGAGATCTTTGTCATGTAGTTACCATCAGTCGTGCTCTATCGAATGGAACGGTCGTGGCCTCGGGTGGTGCTCAGCAATACGATTCGTGCAGCTCTTGCCGGCTGAAATGCACAAAGGTATAACCGTTTGTTTCTTGTCGTTGATCTGAAGTGGTGTTTTGTTTCGCAGACTCGGGATCCACCTTGTCCACATCCTTGTGAGATTGGCTGCCACACTGGGAAATGCCCGGCGTGCAAGGTTTCCTTGAAGAAGTCTTGCCATTGCGGTACTCTTGTGCGCACACTGGAATGTAGCGCCTTTGGTTGCCTTTCCGAGGACGAACGCATCGAGTTGCTTTCATGCAAAGGTCCTTGCCACAGGTTTGGCTACATAATTCTTTCCTTTAGGATACAGTCTTTGATGAACCTCTTGCATGCAGGAAGCTTGAGAACTGCTCGCACTTGTGCTCGGAAATTTGTCATCCAGGCTCCTGTCCAAGCCTGTGCTCCAAGAAGGTATGCTACGAATCCAAAAGCAAACGAATTGAATTGACTCATGAATCCCACCCAGGTCACTACAAGATGTGCATGTCAGCGCATACGGAAAGCGTATCAGTGCTTTGAAGTTCAAGCTGCGCGAGAGAAACAATCGGCTTTAGTTCCGTGCGATCAAGATTGTTTGAAGGCCAAAGCCTCGCAGGAGCTGGAAGAAGATTTGCAGCACAAACAAGCAGCAGACAAAGAGGTACGTGGTTCTAACGATCGATTTTTCATTTATGCTTTTGCTTCTCTTTTGCAGCTACGTCGTGATGACTTGAAGAAGGTCCTGCCGAAACAACGGAAAGTACGCGCACCGAGAAGCGCTCATGGGGACTGGAAGTACAAGGTACCTTTTCTCTTTCCCTTCTTTCATGGCACTGTTCTAAATGGAAACTTGCAAATTGCAGGAGAGCTTGCAAATTGCAATGAGATATGCTCTAGTGGTTGCTCTTGTGCTGGGAGCGGTAGCAATGGCCTACTATGGCGCCAAAGCTCTGCGAAGCCTCTCGGACTGGATGGACGAGATCGACAACCAGAGGCCCAGAGCAAAACTTCATTGAAAGTTTTCCTACTCTAGAAAGCTTTGGTTTTGGAAATAAAGAGAGATGGTTTCATTGGCGCTGTTTGGCTTTGTGGCATGGAATGCTGATTCCTGGACAGAGGAACTTGTAGCAAAACTTTTGTGTCCACTGTAACAGAAACGTTACTTCGTTGCTTCGTCAAAAGACTTTGATTTGATTGCTTACCTCGGTTCCAAAGTAGCTGCTAAAAACTTTGAAAGCGGGATCTCGATCTGCCAGGTAGCGGTCGTAAGCAGCTTGTTTCTCGTGGCATCTCAGACAAAAGCCTGGATCCTCATTTGGCTCCAAAGAATGCAGAGATTTCAAGTATGTTGCGACATATTGCGTATAAACTGTGTACATTCCACCGCTCGACACCTGTTTTTGTAAGATCAGATCAATGAGGAGTTGTAAGTCGCCGAAGCTGGAGAATTTTGCTTACCTCGAGATCGGGCTCCGAAGATCCTTGATCTGATCGAAAGAAGATCATTTGCTCCGATGCGAACTTGTCTTTGTCAAAGAAACGATCAGACATTTCACTGCACCGTGCTGCAAAAGGCTGGCGAAGCAACGCGAGCGGACGAATGTACTTCTCCAAGTAGCCTTGATCTTGAAAGAGTGGTATAAAATCTACCACGCACAGGATCTTGTTCGCGCCAAACGAGAGCAAATCTATTCCCAGTAACGGGAGATCGAAACTAGATCAAATTCGAAAGACATGTATCAGAAGCCGATGAGAAAAATGAAAACATACCTGTTGTCTGGATAGAGCAAAGCATTGAGCGCTTGGCAAGCTCTCCCGGCATCGAAGTACGTGATTCTGATACGCCGGAGCCTCCTTGACGAGTAGAGCCAGTTATAAACATTTGCCTTGCGCGGAGAGCTTTTGAATGCGAGCTGATCGTCTAGCGGAAGAGCTTGTACATCTGGGGCCGAGTCTAGCAGCTGGAAGCAGAGAAAATCCAAGTAAGGCTTGTAGAGAAGTGCTCCTTGTTCTATCGGCTCGAGCATTTTCATGCCTGGAAGAGACTGTGAAAGACGAGAGTTAGTCCCGAAGAATGAAAAAAATTGATACCTTTGGAACTCTGTCCTGTGTTGTTTGTTGGTGGCTTTGAGTGCTAGCTGCCAGAGCTTCGCGCGTCACGCAGCAGCAAGCAAGAGCCCTAGCCATCAACTTAAAGTTGATGTAATCCCCCTTAAGGTGCCTTAAGTCGCCGGAGAGCTCCCATTTCTTCCTCCATTTTCCACCTTTCCTCCAGCATCCCAGCACCAGCATAGATACTCGCCATAAGAGCACACGCTGCTCCATTCTTCTCCAGCTTCATCACAGCCTCGAAAGCCAGCCTTCCAGCTTCTACGTTGTTCCACTCTCGAGCAGCCCCCAGCAAAGTCATCCAGATGATAGCGTTTGGCTCCAGAGGCATGCTTTTTACCATCGCCACTGCATCGCTCAGTCGGTTCGCCCGGCTCAAGAGATCGATGACGCAAGTGTAGTGCTTGATTCCTGGAACCACGCCGTACTTTGGAGAAGCCATCGCCTGGAAGTACTCCATGCCTTTGTCGATCGAGCCAGCATGGCTACACGCTGTGAGAACCGATAGGAAAGTAAGCTCGTCTGGCCTTAGTCTTTCTCTTTGGAGTCCCTCGAACAAAGTGAGCACCGTCTCGCAGTCCCCTTGACGACTATATCCATCGATGAGAGTGTTCCAAGTTACCAAGTCTCGTCTTCCTCTAGCCTCTTCGAAAACTCGTTGAGCATCGACCATGCTGCCACACTTCCCGTAAAGATCCACCAAGGAGTTGACGATCACTATCTGGTCCTTGAGTCCAGCCTCTCTGATCTCCTTCTCGAGCTCAATCCCAGCTTCTAGAGATCCCAAACCTCCACAAGCTTTAAGCGCAGCGACAAAAGTGATGGCCACTGGTTGAACGCCTCGTTGTTTCATCTGTGAGTAGAGTTCTAGAGCGAGCTGGGGTGCGCCATTCTCGACGTATCCCAGGATGAGGCAGTTCCACGAAACCACACAGCGAGCGTCCTCGTCCATGCTGCTAAAACCCTTGTGAGCGTCCACCATGCTCCCACAGTTCGCATACATATCGATCAGGCTATTGGCGACGTAGCTGCAACGGTCGTGACCATCTCTCGCTGCTCGACTGTGAATCGCCCGGCCTTTCCTCAGGCACTCCACTTTCAGATCTTTTCCATCGACTTCTCTCGCGGCTAGAAGAGCACAGGCCTTGAGAGCAGCCACAATGGTCACTCCATCCGCTTCAACACGGCCTTCGTTCTCCATTCGACTGTAAAGCTCGAGAGCTAGCTCTGGATTGCCACTTTCAGCATTTCCTAGGATAATCGCGGTCCAGGACACCACGCTCTTATGCCGAATTCTCTCGAAGCTTTTCAGTGCTTCAGCCAAGCTGCCACATTTGGAGTACATATCCACCAGCGCGTTGGCGACAAACACTGGCAGATCGTTGTCACTCCAGTGCTGAGAAATTTGCATGTGGAGTTTTCTGCCGCGTTCTAGACACTCTGTCTTCCCGGCGAGGTCTTCTTTCTCGGCGAGCTTGATACAGGCCTTGAGTGTAGCGACGAAAGTCACAGCATCTGGCGTGAAACCTTCGTCTTGCATTTGCTGGAAGAGCTTGAATGCCTGCTCACTGTCGCCAGTCTCGGCATAACCCGCAATCATCGACGTCCAGGTGACAACGCTGCGAGGAATGCTTCCGAACACTTTGCTGGCGTCTTCCATGCTACCGCACTTGGCATATAAGTCCAGCAGAGCACTCGCCACAAACTCGTGTGAGAGATGACGGCCCCTGGAAGCCTGTGAGTGAAAAGCTCGCGCTTTGTTCAAGCATTCGAGCTTGACGAGCTTCCCCTGGACAAGCACACCTTGTTCCTTGCCTGCCAAAGCAATGCAGGCCTTGAGCACCGCGAGATAAGTCACGTAGTTTGTACCGCAGCCTCGTCCCTCTTCGTGTAGCATTTGCTGGAAGAGGTCCAAAGCAATCTGCCCCTCGCCACTCTCGGCATATCCCAGGATGATCGTATTCCACGAGACAATGCTGCGATGTTTCATGCCGTCAAAAACTTGGCGTGCTTCGACCATGCTCCCACACTTGGAATACATGTCCACAAGAGCGTTGGCGAGAAACAAATGGAGCTCTCCATCACCCTCGACCGCTCTATAGTGAACAGCACGGCCCTTGTCCAAGCAATCTGCCACCTTTTGGTTCTTTCCGCCTTCTCTCGCAGCTGCCAAGCTGGAACAAGCCTTCACCGCAGCGAGAAAGGTGACATAGTTTGGAGAACAGCCGCCTGTCCGTTGCTCGTCAAGCATCCGGGAGTAAATCTCTAGCGCTGTTTTTCCCTCTCCACTCTCCGCATAGCCGAGGATCAAACAGTTCCAAGGCACCACGTTTCGCTGCTTCATGCTGTCAAAAACACGTCGAGCATCCACCAGGCTTCCACACTTGGCGTACATGTCCACCAGCGAGCTAGCAACGAAGATGTTGTGGCAGTCACCATTTTCCAGCACAGTGGCGTGGATTTTCCTCCCTGTCTCTAAATCCCTGGAGCTACTACAGGCCTTGAGAGCACCCAAAACCACGGAGACTCTGGGCTTTATTCCCAGCTCTCGAAACCTGTTGTAGATTCGTAGCGGCTCTACCCTTTCCTTCTCTCCCGTTCTTGCTGTTCTTGATTTTGTTGTATCGGAAGTGGATCGAAAAGTGGGACGTTCGTCGAGCCGCTGGAGCTTGGTAGACACCCAGGATGGACAGAGCCGTGAGTGAATCCACAGGCATTCTCCAGTGGATGCATGCTTGAAATCTGGATAGCTCGGGCTCCTCTGCAGGAAACCGCCAAATCTAAGTTCGAACTAAGTAAAGTGGAAGAGAAAAAAAAAAATAATCCGTCCATACCTTGTTCCTTCTGTTGTCCCACCAGAGTGAAGGATCTTCAAAGAACTTCCGCCATAGCCGCTCCTCGCTCATTTGCATCGAGCAAGAAAACAAATGAGTTTTACGCCTTTCGAGCGCGCATCATTCAGTTCGCTGCAAATGGAAGGAACAGTCGCATGAAAAAGAAAGAAAGGAAAATACCACGGAAGAAAGAACGAAAAACCTCGTAATTTCGGTCCCTGATGCAAAATCCCGCTCGAAATATTTGCGATGAACCATTCAAAGGAAGATTAACGATCGGCGCCACACTTACCAGGCCGGAGAGCTTAAACGCTGGCTGCAAATCAAAAGAACGCGACACAAATCAACGCATTCTTCACCCAGCGCCCTACTTGCGATAAACCCTAGTCATGAACCCTAATAACTTTTTGGCGGGTATTTGAACTCTTTTAAAAGGAGAACACAGCAGAGTTAGTAATCGCCAGCCTTTGGCGCATCCTGTGCCAAAAGGATTCTGGCCATGGAGATTGATCGTCCCATGCTGAGAGAATCATAGGCGAGGAACCCTTTCCCGCTTCCAGGTGGTGGAGTCCATCGAGGGCTCCACCGTCAACTTGTTCCGAATGTTTTGATCTTGGAGAACTTGATCACGGTCGGATTGCTATAGATATCAGCGAGGAAGAAAACCACACTATGATTTCTTTGTGAACATCAATCTCCCTATTTATTGTCTGGTGATCTTCAAAATGTGGAGTTCGTGAGCTGATCTGAACATAGTGCATTGCAACAGTTTTTGTTCTTTAAGCATGACATGCGTGGTGGCTGTACATATATCCACCACCTTTGTGCTTTTGTACCCTAGATACCTCGTGAATATGCCCTGTTCTTGCTTCCTATATAAATTCGAAGCTCTGGTGCGCCTTGGCGGTGGACAAGCACGAGTTCTTGCAGCTGGAAAGGGCAAGCATCATTCAGCGGACGGGAATACACGCACGGGACCTGCGAATTTTGGATCCATTACTCTCCAATCCTTCCACGATTCTAATCCGGGAGCGAGCCATTGTCCTCAACCTTGAGGTACTTATTATTATGCTATATTCTTGCTTCCTAATTGCTGGTTTTGTAGCATATTAAAGCCATAATCACGAGGAATGAAGTGTTAGTAAGGAATCCCAACAATGTGGATGTGGTTCCTGTTATAGAGGAGCTTAGACAAAGGCTCAATGAAAACAAGTTTGAGATTGAGGCACTGCAAGTGGCATTGGAATCCATTAACAAGTTCCTTGGTGCCCAAGTAGAGGAGCTAGAAACTCATGGATTCTCAGCTTTGGATGACCTCCTTGCCAAGGTAATGAGTGGAGATTGTCACGTTTGTTTTTATCTTGTTCTTGGCAGATCAATAGATATAACTTGAAGCGAGTGCGAACCCTCAAAGGTGGAGTTGCTGGGCTTGTTGCTCGCCTTCAAAAGGTTGCGATAAAGTATTAACTTAAGTTTGGATTAATCCTGGGGCCTTTCAGGTGAATGTGGAGCTCGAGGACCTTTTAAAAGAGGACGATGATAATTATTTTTTTCCGGGAGCACATGAAGAGATTTTGGAGGTAAAATTTTATTTTCTTGAGAACTTATATGTTCTTCAGTGGCATTTTATGCAAATTGAGGGGATGATAACGAAGCTTAAAACGGTAAATAGTCAAGTGTCTTAATTACATTCTTCTTAGTGCTTCTTACACAGCTAAGTGAACACGTAACCGACACTGAAAAACACATCAAAATACAGGTTTGATTTCGTTGTAATAATTTCTAACGCGTCATGCAACTCTCGCACAGATTGTCAATCGCCGAAACGGTCTCATACAGGTCTAAATTTTTGCATAGCAATTCCTTCACTCTGTAAGTACTTTTCTTGTAGATTGGGCTCATCCTCAACGCATGCGTCCTCGCAATGTCCTTCTTTTCGATGATTGCTAGTTTCTTCGGAATGAACTTAGTTCCAAAAAGTTGGCAAATATGTTGTCATCCTAAGTTCTTCAACTTGGTAAGCTCCTGACCAGTTTCTAAACTTCTTAACGTGACAATTCTTTCCGTGCTCTTAATAAGGTGGTCATAGCATCTTTCTTTCTCTGCGTAAGTTTGTTCCTGGTTATCGTGATCTCTTTCCTCAGAAAGCATGGACTTTTGATCTTCAAAAGAAAGAGTTTACGTGAACATTATTACTAATAAAAACCAAACGATTTTAAAAGGACTAATGCTGGAGAAGGACGAGGCTGACAAGAGCTGGAAAGTGGCAGAGTACCAATACGATGGTAAGCTCTTCCTGGAAAAGTACCTACGTCGTCTATTGCGTGGGCGAGAGTATGCGGGCAAGCGCGCAGGCCAGGTGGAGTTCATGGTGGGGAACCTGTTCGGCATCGATGGGATCCTGGACAAGAGACTTCAGGAGCATGATCAAGGCCCTTGTCTTTGGTGTGTTCGTTTTCAATTTCAATTCCTATTGGGTGTGCTTTTACAAGTGCCAGGTGAAAGAAGCCAGTTGATCAGAGAAACATGGTTTAAGAATATATTTGATTACAAACGAATTAGAAATATTCATGTTAATATATTTATTAATCCAATTGATACTAAGAGAAAAAAACTAAAAAGTGTTTAGGAAAATTTATAAATTGTAAACATGTTTATAAATTACATGATTTGTAAGCTGATACAAATTAGATGATTTTCAGCTGATTGCTCCCTCTTTATCGATCCTTACGTTTGGAGTGTGGAAGATTTCGAGGTCATGGTAGAAAATGCACGATAGTAACAAATGATCAGACTAAAGTTTTGCACATAAATTCTTTCATGCTGTAAGTATTTTTCTTGCACATGTACATTGTCATCCTCAACGCATGCCCCTTTGTAATGTTCTTCTTTTCGATGAACTTAGTTCCAAAGAAGTCGCTGTGGCAAGTGTGTTGCCATCGTAAGTTCTTTAAAATACATTCTCCTACATTTCAGTGCTGCGAAGCTTTCCTGGAGCAAAAGATCATGAAAGAGATGTTGCTGGCTCTCGTGCTTCTCCAAACGATGCTGACGATCTCCTCATCGAGCCGCAACATCGCCGCTCCAGATCACACCGTCGGCTCGGGAATCATTATGGTCGGCTCGCCGGATCTCGGAGACTATGGCCAGTTCCTCGTCTCTCCAGGCAAATTCATCGACAGGATCATGGTCTGGCGAGCAAAGTCTTGCATAAAATCGATAGCTCTCTGGTCGATCGATGACTCCTTCATTCAAGTGGGAAGATCGAAGGAACGAGGACCCTTGCCGGTCCAGGAGTTTGAGTTCCAGCGTGGCGAGACCATCGTCTACCTCATGATGCACAGCAATCGTCAAAACGACTGGGGTAAGCGAGAAATCTCAAGCTCATATAACTTTTCCGCTGATCCTGTGGATCATTCCAGGGAATAGACTGGGCTGGATAGAGTTTCGAACAAACTTCAACCGATTCTTCTCTTGCGGGAATCTCCCGGGAGGCCTCATGCAGCAAATCACTCCTCCAGTCCACTCGGGCGTGATCGTCGGGGCCGCGTTTACAACAGGAGGAACTGGTGGAGACACCCACGACGTCAACTCTTTCGCCATCTTCTTCCTCAAGAACTGGAGCGCTGCCCAGCTCCAAGACGTGACCTACGCCAGCCCAGGATATCTCGAAACCATCCTCGAGACCCCAGATCCTCCATCGCGGTAAGCCGGTGTCAAGTCTAGCAAAGTCAGGCTCGCCCGAATTGTCACAGGCTTGAGAAGGAGGTGACTATGGAGTCAATGTGGACCGTGGACTCCCTCGGCGTTGACGATTTCATATGGACGACCACGCACACTCGTATTCCAACGGTGATGATGCCGTCGTTTGACGGGACCCCGTACTGGACTTGGACGGACACGATTACGTCCTCGCTCAAGGATCGAAGGAACGCGACTTTGGTCTGGACGAGAGGATGGGATATTTGCATGGGCCCAATCTACTTGAACCTGGGAAGAGGTATCACACTCACTAACTTCACTGGTTCTATGGTTATAAGCTTTAGCGATGGCGATTCTTTCGTTTATCCGACTAGTGGTCGCTATTCCGGCCAGCACTTCTCGGGCTTTGGCTCAGTGTGCGCCGTGGATGAAGAAAGCCATGGATAGAATTCGATTCGATTGCAAAGAATGCGAGTTTTATTTGCGTGGAGTAAACTCTCTGGTCCTGTTGGTTATTGCAAATCAGCCAACGAGAGAGATGGTGTGAAGATTTCTTCCTTGCGAGTCTCAGAAGTTTACCTCTGGGAAGCGGTATCAGCGTCTCCAGCAACGTTGTCAGATGACAAGGCATCGTCCAGCAGCGAATCGAAGTTGAGGGACCTGGTGATGAATCGATCGGCCAGGCTGAGGTGCCTCTCGGAAACCACCGTCTGGACACGCAAGAAACGAAGAGATCCAGCGAAAAACCAATCGGAAAGAAGAGCCCACCTCTGCGATGGTGATCTTGCTGATCTCGGAGATTGTTCGCTGGATCCTTCCTTCCTCGATCGCTCCATCCTTGTCCGGTGGAGACCCAAGAGCGCGAAATCCCCCGCTGGGCAATCCCAGCCTCGACGATGGCATCCCGGCAGTCACTGGCGTGGATGGTTGCGTCGCCGCCACCACCGCTGGAGTGTTGGCCGGAGTCGGGCCAACGAGCATTCCGGGCGAAAGGCAGCCAAGGCGATGGAATCCAAAGAGAGGGCCTTTCGGCACATCGCACTGGACTTGCTGGAGGAGGAGAGTTACCTGAGACCTCAAGAGATCCTCGCCAGCGCCTGGTGTCCCCGGCGTTCCTGGCGTTCCAGGGGAAGAACAATCACACAGCGGCGCTGCCGCGGGGAAGCGAGGAGCGAGGCCAGTGATCGGCGAGTCGCTGTTAGTGAGATCCGCGAGCACTCTCCGCCGCGGGCCCTTCTTGATCTTCGTGGCGCTGCTGCTACCGCCGCCGCAAGCCGGGGGCTTCCTCGCGAGCGCTGGAGTGGAGGAATCACCTGCGTTTGCCTGGCGCGAGTGTGGATCCATGGAAGAGGAGAGTCGACGGCGTGCTCGGAATCGCGAATCGAAAGAGAAGCTAGCGCTAGAAACCTAGCTCCAAGATTTTGCCAGCGATGGGGCCTTGTTCTAAACGACCTAAAATCGAGGGACCGTTGGAATGGACCGTTGCTTCTAATCCACTTTTTTTACAAGATGTTCTACCCTAATAAATATTCTCCAGATAAAATTAATCTCATTAAATATTCGAATCGGATAGATTAATACTTTTAACCCTAAAATATTTAAACAACGTAGAATATTCGAATCGATTCGATCTTCTTTCGATATTGGTGGTAGAGTATGTACAGCTTAGAAGCT